AAAAAAAATTGAGCACAGCTTTAAAGAGTGAAAAAAAATCTTGCATAAGAAAAGTAACAGAAAAAAAATCCAAATCATGTCCAAAAAAAATTCCTGCACAACCATGAGGCGTAAAAAAAATTTCCTGCACAAAATAAATTGCCCAACCCACTCAAAAATCTAATGGTCCGCCTTAACAGTGACACAGTAATTCAAGGCTACCAATTCAAGGGCTTTTATATTTTTATTCCAATGGAGGGCATGTTTTCATTTTTTCGCTAGTCAATTTTCGCAGACTTCATATGACACTTCAGTTTCGCAGTGACGTCATTTCTACGTCACTATTTCAGATCAGTTGGAAGCAAAGAGGGAATGAACAAATGTAAATACTTGACTTACCGAATGATTAATGAAATGTGAAATGTTTCCATACTTTTTGGCATCTATAGTATAGGCACATTCACCTTCATTATAGTCAAGATCAAACAAGTACGTCTGTCCCACATGGTCATAAATCTTTCCTCTTTCCTCTGCTTCCTCATTGGTCAACACTTCTCCAACATACTCCGTAACAAACTGGTTCTTTAAAATAGGATCCATTGTTTTTACTCCCCATCCACAACCGTTAGTAGTCCTAAAAATGGTCACCTAGTTTGAAGAGGTGTAGAAATGCATGTTAGTCCAGTAAAATCAAAGGCAAACCCATGGCAAGCTCGTGAAGCTTTTTGAGTACCAATGAACTAAGATGATAACAAATGACACTTGGTGACCCGAGTAAGGCGATAGTCGGAGTTCTGTCTGGTTACGAATTTTTTCTACGATTGAGATTATCTGGATCTAGTCTAATCGATCCAATATATGACAAACCGGATTCTCCTTCCAACGTAATGATAAAAACGACAATCTCATATCTCAAGGTCCAATAAAAAGAGCATAAAGTAAACTAAGAATACTCAAAATATGCTGCTGATTACGAGTGATTATGAAGTGATCAAAAATCTAAAATGGCTTCCTCTACCAACAACTACGGTGGATTCTTCCAGTGACGTCACTTGCCGAACTCAATGGATTCCATGGTTACAGGAATTACCCAAAATGATTGGTGGAGAAGCATTATCCAAAAAATGCGAAATCTAGCCACCCCAATAGCTCTTCACGAGCTGAAAAAGGATTATCTTCCAGATTTCTATAAAAATGAGGGCGGGCAAGCGCATTTATTTTTTATTTTCTAAATTTTTATTAAATCAAAACGCAGACAAATGCCATGTTTATTTACATAATTTACTTTGTGTACACCCAATCATCCTGAAGCGAGATGACGTTTTACCCACGTCTCTAGACCATAATCCTTTTCACACTGCTTTTGTTCTTTAATTATGACTATTGTTCCTGTATTCTCTAAGGAATCAAAAATTTTAATATGAAAGAATTTTAAAAACTATTATGGTATAGAGTCAGGGGTAAAACGTCATCTCGCTTCAGGCTTATTGAGATTAACTGGATACAAAGTAAAAGTAACGCCTGTCGCTTTTTGTTCTTTCAAATTTTTCCAATAACGAATAATCAAACAAAAGGTGGCCCCAAAAAATCATGTTTTCTTTTTACTTGGCCTTAAATCAGTGTATCATAGGTCATGCAATTCATAATTCCCCCTTGGACAATAGGGAACCAATCACTGTTACAGAAGTATTCCCAATGGAATTAAAATCTTGTCCTACAATAAACTACACAGATTCTGTTTCAAATCTCCCAAGAAAGAAATGGTGACAAAAGAATTTTTTTTAGAAACAATAAGAGCAATTCATAACAATCTAGAACCTTGAACCATGGAAAGCAAGAATGATGGAACCTGAAGAAGACCAACGCAGTATGGTCCAAACATAGATCAAAAAGGAACATTTGCAGAGTATATTCCCAAAAAAATGAGTTAACAAAATGATCTGTTTCAAAATTAAGAGTACTACGAGGATAACTAACAGAATTCTAATGCCCCCCTCCCCTCCCTGGCAAAACGTGATTGGTCCCTAAGTACATGAAAGAAACACCACTTCTTGAATGCTTTCAGCTCTCCATTTTTCTTTTCTATTTTTGCAAAATTTGCTGCGTATATATGTAGATGGCATCAGCAACTGTGCTCTGTCACTAATAAAGCACGGTTCTCAACCAATCAGAGGACGCATACTATCTAATAAGACCTCTTGCCCTCATAGCCTAGGAGTCAATAGCCCATTCAGTCTTCAGCCTTATGGGCTATAGACTTGTTGAACATTAAGGCTTAGGATCTAGTAATCGTTAATCATACTTACCCTAACAGTTCTGCCTCTCTGTACAACGCGATTGCGGCACGAGATAGAACAGGAACACCTGGAGTTACACTCATAAATTGGTTTACCAGGTTCAAATTGTACTCTTCCAAAGCGATCATATGCAAAGCTACCCCCACTGTTCTTAGGGCAATCACATGTCAGGGGGGTACAACGTTCACAACTGCATCCTACAAGGTAATCTTTATCAAAAAGATAGTCCAAATTGGAAGGCATCTTGCTGCTAGCAATGTAGACAAATTCCTCTGGTGGCCCCGAATTATCCACTTTATTTTCTACTGATATATAAGGTTCATTAGGGCTGCATTTATTCAACAATTTTTCCCACGCTTCAAGCTTGAGAAGCAAATCCCATTTTCTCTTGTAAGCTGACAAATAACTGCTGCTATTGGAATTTTTCTTCGTGTTTACATCTAAGTACAACTTGTAACGCGTTTCGAACTTCCCTCTAAGCTCTTTGACGGACAGTAAGCAAGGAACTGAGCAGTCTTCCATGCCCAGTTGACGAGCCAGCGCCATTTTGGCATCCTTCCTCTTTAGCTTCTTCTGTCTTTTCGTCCTACGACCTGTCTTTTCTTCACGAGACGCCGTAAAAATTTCTTCCTTGATCGGTTTAAAATCTTCCTCCAAAGGAGGAGTTGGTGGTGCAGGCCTTTGGATATGAATATTCGTAGTTTCAATTTCGTTATTGCACTCAAATTGTTGAGGCTGTTGTTCTGTTGAAATATTCTCTGTCTTCGGAAGCATGGCATCTAAAAGATCAACATCAAGGCTGCCATATTTGCTCCCATTTAAATATTCTATGCCCTTCTGAATAAGCTGAGCACCTTGTTCTTCCATCTTAATCAAATGAAACACAAAGATGAGGGAAAAAAAACAGTGAAGAATGCAGTCGAGTCGTGTCGTCAGATCTCACATCTCCCGCCACTACACAGATTACCCACAAACCTTTTGGTGATGGCGGCTTTGCTCGGAGGTTCACCAAATCAAAATTCAGTAAAAGTAGTAGAAAAAAAATCACAAAAAAAGTTTACTTAAAAGAATTTTTCAATGTTATTTTAGATATAAATAGAGAAGAAGATATATGTTTTTAAGGGAGCTGTAAAACAAATCTGAGATGTACCTTGGTAGCACTTCCCCCCAGACCCTCCCACCCCCCTAAAAAAGCTTCTCACCCACCCTCTCTCTTATTAATAAGCCACTGGCACCCTTTAAAGTTATTTTCCAGGGCGGTGCTTGGGCAGAAGGGACTGTAGTTTTACTTTGGAAAAATAAAAGCTTCAAACCCACCCTCGCTCTCTCTTCTTAATGAACCAAAGGTCCCCTTTAAAATTATTTTCCAGGATGGTGGTTGGGCAGAAGTGACTGTAGTTTTACTTTTGGAAGATTGAAAGTTTCGATTTCCCTGTTTTTATGGATTGCTTCTTTCTATCATGGGCTTCCTGTGGATCTTCATTGCAAAGCCTGATCACCCACCTAACCCTCTTTCTTATCAATAAAACAAAGGCCACCTTTAAAATTATTTTTCAGGGCGGTGCTTGCGCAGAAGTGACTGTAGTTTTACTTTTGGAAGAATAAAAGTTTCAATTTTCCTGTATTTAGGGATTGCTTCTTTCTATCATGGGCTTCCTGTGGATCTTCATTGCAAAGCCTGATGGGTAATACCCTGTACATGTGCACTCGGTATTAGTGTTGTTGTTGGAAGGTATTTTGGTTTTTCTTATTTTCTTTAGACGGTTAAAACATGAATATCCGCTGTGCAAGGGTAAGTTGCTAGACTATCTACCATAAAGCAGTCATCCTTTTAGCTTTATGCGTGTGTTTAATACCCGCTCGACCAAACTACGTCGAGAAAACACTTTAAAAAATTCTTCAAAACCTTCGCCTTGAGTTCGCCTTGGACATAAAGCTAACCATGTTCACTTATTTCATTAGCACTCTTTTTTGCTTTGTCCCTCTCATGTTCAACATAATTTCTATGAAAACAATAATGCTGCGTCTTTAATTAAGGTAGTTGAGTTTAATGTAGGGTGTTACAAGTGTTTTTATGTCTCAATACACATCTGTACATCAAATGTCAATCAATCAGTTAATCAGTCGTTTTCATAAAACAGTCAATGCTCAGAGAATAGAGTACATATTTGAGAACTGTACAAAACTGCCAAACCTTGCAACATCTAGATACAAATAGACCTCATTAGTGTGGCGTAATCTTTACCCAATTGATGGGTTGCAAGCATTCCCAAGAGAGTTAAAAGACAAAAGCATGGCAGCCATTGTAATACCATTAACATTGGATGCTAATGAGAAATCTTTTGTTAAATGGTACCAACATGGCCGCGATGATATAACGTGCAAACGAAGAATTCAGATTATGTATCATTCCTTTGAGTATCAATTCTTTGTTTAATGGTTGCACACAAGAAGACACATAAATTTGTAGACCCTGTTTATGACAAAAGATATAATTAATTGCACTGAGTTCCTGTTTCAATTATCATGTCAGCTCGCATATCGTTTTTTTACGACCATAATAACCAGTTTCGGTCAATACGAAAGTAGAAACCCTGAATATGACAGGAAACTCAGGAAGAACTTGGAACTTGAGTGAAATTGCATACCCTGTTTTATGACAAGAAGCTTGAAAAACCATACCCTGTTCAGCAGATCATCCCTCTATAATCCATATGTGGGAGTTAACCCCCCCGGGCCTTCCACCAAAATTTCATTCTCCAACCTGGCCCCTTTCCCTATTATAGATAACCACTATTTCTATAACCATGGTCGGCTTACTTTATGTAGTCTTCAATTGAAGGGTGTTAATTTGCTTGATTTCAGCCGGAAGATTTAATGAACATGCAGCACTGTAATTTACTTTGTCTGCCAGAGAATTACCAAATGAAATATTATTTTTATCATGGATTGTCGTGGCCTCAGGTATGATAACAGTCATTGCTAATGAGATTTGATATGCCCACATTTAAAAGGGATTCTATGACTGTTTAGCATCAAGTTTTTAGGTATATTTGATTATTAGTTTGATGACTAAGTCAATAGACCATTTTCTCAAGGTTGCGTGCGCATCCAACTTGACGGGCCACAAAACTAAAAAACGCAAATTCAGTAAATCGAGAAGCCAGTTTCATATTTAAAGAGGAGAATAATCGATGTTATGAATTCTTATCGAAAAATCTCATAGAAACGTATGGTAATCATTTAGAAGCTCCCGTTCTGGTATCGTGGGCCCTCAAGTTTCTTAAATTTTGATGAGTGCGCAACCTTAAAGATTATAGGTTAAAGATTCGGATAAACATTGCATTCTGTGTAACCGCTACGAGGATTATACGAACCGATTTTATTATTTTTACTTAAAGTTACAATAATAACCCATGTAAACTAAGATCAGCTGCGATCGGCTGTGAAAATTATCTGCTGAAAGTAAACTTGTAAGTTTGTTTGTCTGAATTTCGCCTTTGTCTTTGTTTTTATGACTTCACGGTTGCGCTGCACTATTGTAAGATCATTATCGTTCAAAATATACAGTAGGAGGTGAGACCCAAAGGTATTCTGGGAAAGTAAAATTAACCTCTGATGTATTCATTTGAGATACGCAGTAGATATGAAAGTGTGTTAAAAGCCTCCATGCTTTCTGCCAGTGAAACAATTTATAAATAAAAACTTAATTAAAATTCCTTTTCGGTCTCAGGTTCTATGTTTTTGAACTCAACAATGATCTTACATGTACAATTGAGTGTTTACGAATATTTTTCAATACAAGCATGGATAGTTACTACAGATTTCAGTATTCTATGGATAATAATTATCTATTGGAACTACACATTTGCAATGCTTTTTTGTTTTTGAGTTGTTACAGTAAACAGGAAAAATTTGCTTTTAAAAGCTTTATTTGAGATAATTGTGGAATTGAATTTCAATTAAATGTTTACATGTTTATTAATATTTTAATATTTTAAAATCTTCAGCTATCTTATGTTGCTGAGGATGAAAAGGGAAAGATAGTAGGATATGTGCTAGCAAAAATGTATGTACCATATATATACACACCTATTTCAATAAACGTTGTCATCGCCAAAGGCAATAGGCAATAGGCGAAAAGCGATAGGATATATGTCATTCCAAGACCCAAGAATAGCTCGAATGACTTGTGTTTCTTATTCTTATTCTCGTCAAAAGCATGTACCTTTGTGCTGAGACTGATTCGATGTCCTTTGTATTCAACGAAACCATTTCCATGTCGGAATGACCTATTACCTGCCGCCTTTGGCAATGACAGGGTTATTTGAATTACATAGGTGTATGTATAAGAATATTTAAGATAATATAACGCTGATGACAATGTTTATCAAAGGACAGAGGACTTGTGCAAAATTGTTCAAAAATATTTTATAATTTAAGCACTATAAACAGCTGTTTATGTCTCTTTTTGTAATAATATTATTTAAACCATCGAAGAGCAATAGAAACACTCCACTATTCCTCGTTATCCAACAAGCTTGCTCCTCTCTTGCTCTACAGCTCCCAGCTTGTTGATATCACAGTACAGAGACATGTGCACACACTGTATTTTACTAAATTCATATAAACCTGTGACAGACCAGTAGACCAAATTGGAAGGCAGAATTCCTTTTGAACGCACTAAAAACGTTTATCATTATGAGATGGTGTCACATCATTATATGTATGATGAATTTCCAGACCCTAATATTCGCCTTGAAAAATCAACCTCCACTTAAGTATACACAGTCATGAAATCAAACTTTCTATACTTACTATACTATGCTTTTGGCATAAAATTCGTTACTTATTGAGTATTGGCATATAACCTTTACCTTATTCATTCTGAATAGGGAAGATGAACCTGATGAAGCTGTTCATGGACATATCACATCCTTAGTAAGTATTCATTCTAAAATGTCCTTAATAATAATAATAACTGTTGAAATATGCAAATCATTGTTAGTTAAACCTTCCTGATTTCATACTTTCATGCATTCATTTATCCATTCATCCATCTATCCATTTATTTATTTGTTTATCTATTTATTTGTTTGTTTATTTATTTATTTATTTATTTATGCAGGCTGTTAGAAGATCTCACAGAAGGCTCGGTTTAGCACAGAAACTAATGGAACAGGTAGTTCCCTAGATTTACAGATTTTTTTCAATGTTTTGATAAGCAAAGGTTGAAGAAAACCCATTTCTCACTCCTTTGTGACGAAATATCTCGGAAACCAGTTTGGTTTTCCCCATTTTTCTTTGTCTTAAATAAAGATACTATCAAATTCTCCAAAATGATTGATCTCAACTTATTTTCCCTGTGAACGTCCTTAAAACTGATCATTACACTTTTCCTTTTTCAGGCGTCAAGAGCTATGGTAGAGTGTTTTAAAGCTCAATATGTGTCTCTGCATGTTAGAAAAAGGTAACATCTTATGTATTCCTCTCCATTTTTTTAAATGTTGTTACTGCATGCATAAAAAATCTACTGCTACAGTATAAAGGATGTGCTAATGTATTTCAAATGTTTTTTCCCTAAAACTTTGTTAAATAACATGAAAAAAAAACGTCCTTTTTTCACGAGGGTAGCACTTCATAGCCAGTGGCTAACAAACCTGTGGCCCTCATTCCATGATCGAATTGGAATTTTGGATGAATGGAGCTAAATGAATGATAAGGATTAATTATTTTTTTAAATTATTTATATAGCGCCCTTTCTATGTGGATAATCAAAGGTGCTTACATTGACTTATGAATTCCAGATTGCTTTTTATACAACTTACAAACATAAGTCCTGGCCAGACCAACCCTGTTGACCTTGCCCTGTCAACCCAGCGCTGTTGAGTCCGGGACTCAAACCATAACCTCCCGCATGATAGTCCAATGCTCAACGAACTGAGCTATCTATTTGAACTATATTAAAATAGTTCAGTTATATATTTTTTGTTTACAAGCTCAATTAATTAATTAATTAATTATTATTGTATGTTGGGTTCTGTTTTCAGTAATCGAGCAGCTCTCAATCTTTATACAGTGACACTTAAATTCAGGTAGGCAATATCAGTGCTATTTAGTTCACTGATGACACCTGCAAAGTATACCCCAGATGAATCACATTACGCCACACAGTACTGCCAGTCAGACCAATCACTTTGCAGGCAAAAAAAATAAGCCAATCAAAATTTTAAGCAGCAAGGCAAGCATAAGGCACTGGGCTTTTCACAGTCATAAGAAAACTGCTCTGTGTTATGATGTAATTCTTATTTATAACAAATTGTCCCAGTTATGTCAGACCAAGTCATATATTAAGTTTGTCTCTTACAGCATATCAGAAATAGAGCCCAAATACTACAGTTGTGTTACAATGTAATTCTTATTTATAACAAATTATAGTCCCAGTTAAGTCAGACCAAGTCATATAAGTTTGTCTCTTACAGCATATCAGAAATAGAGCCCAAATACTATGCTGATGGTGAAGATGCTTATGCTATGAAAAGAAATCTTACAGGACTTGATTTAGAAGTAAGGAATCACTTTTATTTATCATTGATAGCATGTTAGAGTGGAGTCACTAAACCTGTGAAATACTACATTTAAGTAGACCCTAATTCCATTGTTTTCTTTTGTCTCTATTTGACTATTACACATTGACTAGTATTTTTTATTTCTCAGGTTAAATGCCTTCACTCTACCATCCCTGTTGTTTGGTGTTTCCAATTTTTTGAAATTTTTTTCCAAATTTTTGTTAAAAAAGAGGGAAATAAGACCTTCCATTACATCATGGGAATTCTTGGCGATAGAGTCTTTCTCCCCTGGGAAATGAAATTCTTTCTCATGTAAATCAGATTAGACTAGATTTAAATGTTCCTGCCTGTCATGGCTGCCATCATGTGATGGTGCAAAGCATCCATTTATACATTCCCCACCCATCCACATTTCAAGCTCCCTTACTGAGGTGGAGGTATTCACTGTTATCCATGCCAAATAACAATGCTATTTGTTTATTTTCCCCAGGAGGCTGTCGCCAGTGTACAAAGTGCAATTAGTGTTTGCAGTGCTAGAGAAAGCAGCTTATCAAGCAATACTGATTTGTTAGCTGAGGACAACCATGCCAAATAAAAGTCTTGATAGCAATTTTTATTATGCCTTTTATGCAGCTAAACATCTGAGAATACAATGAAATAATAGAGTGCAAACAAAAAGTACTATAACTCTAAGGCCTAGGGCAAATGTCGAACCTTCCATGCACCCAACTTGATTACGTCAAAGAATGCCGCCTCATTATTACCTGATATCCATTGTTTTTAATGAATTCGATGTATGGAAAGTTCGACGTTTGCCCTAGGCCTAACAGTGCTAAATATTCAGTGTGGCATTTCTACATCTCTTTATATTACTTCGTACGCTGAAATTTTAATTGGAATTTAGAAATCAATTTTTGCAGAGAATGAAAAAAACAGAGAACGCAGAGAAAACCCCTTAAAGAAAAGTGGAGAATCAACGAACAACTCTGCTTACATATGACACCAAGTCTGGTACATGAACCTGGGTTGCATTGGTGAGAGGCGAGCACTATGACCACTGCCACCTATGCGTCCAATAGTAGTCACTGATTCCATTATAAGTTTTCTTTTGTTTTGTATCGATTAGGAGAAATATTGATCATAAGTACTTATTAGATTTTGTTTCACAAGTGCCATCACTCTACTTTATACGTGGTAGAAAGTTGTATAATATTAGTGAGGAGAGTCGAAGTAAAACAAAAGAAAACAGTGAAATAAAGCATGTGTATGTTACATCATAGCCGTCATCTTGGTTGACGATAACAAAGCATTTCTCATTAGCTTCTATCGTTTGATCAACATGGCAGTTGTTTCATTGTTATTCATATCTCAAGGGATTTTGATTCACATGGATGCACACACAGTATTGGTGTCTACTAACAATATATTATTACAGTAGTATTATATGGTAAGAGTGATTTTCCTTTGCCGTGAAAGAATAGTCAACGTAATACATGGTAGTAGACACTAATTCCATGTTTTCTTTTGTTTTCCTTGGACTGTTAGTCACTAAATATACAACATTGTTTCACAGGCAAAATAAAATCACTATTTTTTCACATGCCATGTTACAGTGCAGACACTCAAACCATGAACACTTCAAGGTTTTTTTGCCATTTTTTTGTAACTATCTAATCACAGCTCTCTGTAGAAATGAAGGAAATAAAGGTGCCATCAAATCACAACTAACAGCAAAAAAATCTTTACGTGTTTTATTTTTAGCTCACTCCGTGTGAACTAATGGACTGCTAGATTGTTGCACAAAGTACTAACTTTCAATAATTTACAGAGATGAAACAAAAATATTTTTCATTGTCGAAGTAGCTGTTATGAAATAATTGATACAATTTATATTGTAAATTTTTAAAAACACAAACAGCAACCACAACCCAAGAGAATCTGAAACTGCACGACAAAATGTTGGAACCTCTGTAAGAATCTGGCTTCTGAGTGGATTATTCGAGAAATGTTAAAATATCCTTGAAGTGTTCATGGTTTGAGTGTCCACACCGAAAATCACTCTGACTAGCATTACAACTTTCTTTTTTGTTTATTGTTTGCACTCTAACTTTTTGGTGTGTCTATCTAGAGTTAAAATAGACCAAACTAGCTTTCAAGTGTTTTCCCATTTCAGGCCATTTTCATTCCATTGAAAATAAGATTCTTTGTTTGAGTTGCATCCTTATATATTCATGTGTCTTATCATGCACAACTGTTAAAGAATGGGAATGCAACATGGTTTGAAATGGAAAAACATTATGTCGACCGGTTCAGCACTAAAAAAGCTATAGGAAGCCTCCAAATATACTAGGAACCCCAATTGATAGAAGTTGAACTCATGGTGAGGTGATGTGTTTAATGCCATTATTGTCATTAGCAAAAATGAAATCATGTTATTCCTGCTTTTAATGAGGATAATATGAAACTATCAGGAGAAGTAGTACATAATAGTTATGTGAAAGCTATAGACGTTTTTCCAAGGTTGCATGCGCATCCAAATTGACAGGTCACAGAATTGAAAAATGCAAATTCAGTAAAATTAAGAAGCCAGTTTTATATATAGAGTGCAAACAATCTGTGAAACACTAATTACTAAATAGTACAAAATAGTGCTAGTTAAACAATAGAAAACAATGGAATTTGCATGAAATTGTGCTATTTTGTATTACTAAAGTTTCACGGTTATATTGTTTGCATTCTATTGTGATAAAATCCAACTTGGAAATTAAGTTTGAAAAGCATTTCTGACAATTTTCTGAATCCAAGATGTTATGAATTTCAAAGAGCACGCTGGAATTTCATTTTGAAGTTCCAAAGTTCATTGCCAACTTGGGGACTTCCGAACAAACTTCCTAACCCGCCGCGGTAAAGTAATGTGAAATGCACTGTAATTCCCAGATTCCTAAAATAAGTACAAAGGTGTGGAAAGGTCATTACAAACATACCAATGATGTGAAGCAATTAAGTTCAGCTTTATTTACAAGGTAAAGAACAAACAAGATTACATTCTCAAATAAAGAAATATTAGCCTAAAAATCACTCCTCATTATCTCCTTCTACAGCCTCATTCCCATTGGCTTCTTGTTCTGCAATTCTCTGTACAGCTTCTTGTCTGGCCCAGGTCTGAGGACTAATAAGACAATTATTATCATTCAGAATCTTATAGTGCACAAAACCATAAAACAATTATTATTAACCAGTATTATAAAATAATGCAACATTAATTGCTGCTAGCCTCCTCCGCAGGCAACTCTTCACTCTTTTCTCTCTTTTCCTATACTGGGCTTCCTGTGTTGGCTGAGAGTTAACCACTCGCCTTAGTCTTCCTCGTTTTCACCACAGGATACCCATCCCTCTTGGACAGCAACAAAAGCAGCAACAAAAACCCTAGTGAGTAGCCTGTGGAGGAGGCTAAATTGCTGCAAGCATAGCGAGCAGTGATACTAATTTCCAATTTGTGGGCTCCCTGTGCAATCCATTGTCTTAATAAAATTGAATTTCAAGATTTTGGGAGTATTTTTGGTGCCTTAACACTTGCGGTCTGTGGTGGCTTTGTACCACTATTCATGTAAGGTCTTTACATGCATCTGTCTTCCCTGTCCTCGCCTGAAAAAATTGTCTTCAGTTCATTAATATTTTTAAGAGATGTCGTACTTCAGTGTGTTTATTCCATAAAGGCCATACACAGTGAAATGGAAAAACAACTTCTATTAGAGTCTTTCAGCATCATTTTATGTTCACATGCTTCCAGTTCCATAATAAAGACGTTATTGGTAAAACTCAATAAATGTGAGACATTAGGGCTTGACCATTTATTACATCGTAGAGGAGACAGTTAATTTGTGAAGGAGGGGGAGGGGGATAAGTAAATTGTGTACACCATCTCCCCAACAATATATTGCAATAAAAAACAGAGTTTGTATGAAAGAAAATTGGAATTTCCAGGGATAGGGGGGCCTTTAAAAAATTCTTCAGTGAGGAGGGGTTATGGATGTACAAAAAATGTAACCCCAATTTCAACTTTTTTTTCAGAGGATGAAAACTTTAATTCAGTCTGAATTGTTTTCTTTATTGCAGTTCTTTGATTGACGGTCCTTATCATACGAGACTACCAACTTTGCGGGTCGTACTTCAACGATATTGAAAGTAAGATAATACAGCTATCTTTATTACCAAATTCAACATGGATAATTTTACCTGGTGTCTGGCTTGTAATAGAAAAGAACTCCACCAACAACAAACATGATCACCCACCATCTGTACCATATATCTTCCCAAGATTCCCACTCTCTCTTCTCTCCAGGTTTACGTGGCTGTAAGGCAATGATGAAGTAATCTTTCTACACCCTTTAACATTGATCAATTCAAATATGAAAGGATGTGGTGTGATTTTCAAAATAGTTTTACCTTTTCATTAAAGAGAAAACCGTTCGGTGGTTCCCTTTCCTTGGTAAATATGCTTTGTGCTCTCGCTAAAGATGGTCTAGTAATGGTATTTATTCTCCAAAGACTTGCACAACGAGAAACCAAGCGACGGGCCGCCATCTTGGAAAATCTGATGATAACTTGCAAAGACTTCTGGGAACACAGGGATCCCAATTCCAAGCTTCATGCTCATATTATCATTCTTCGAGTTATAAACGCATGTGAGTCTGGTATTTGGCGTTAAAAGATTACAATTTGATGTAAAGAAAGACATAAGATAAGATTGTCCGATCGCGTTTGCATCTGGGATTTATTTAAGGAGAAGTTGTTGTATACATTTATCATTAATTTTGAAAATAAAAGAAAAAAAAATCAGGACGTTCGCAAATAATAACGAGTTGACATCAGTTCATCTGGGGGGGGATAGGGGGGTGTAGGGGAGTGATGGTTCCGACCTCCCCTAGCTAGATCCATTCCTTGGGTCACAGTTTGCAACTGGAGGTGAGACACCATCATTGAACATGATTGGGCTCCCTATGGTTCGAGTCTCCAGATACACCTTGTAGAAAAATGAGGCTCGAAAAACCATATGCAAGTCCAAATATTACTCTCGTCGTCATTCATCACTAAGATGATCAAAATAACGTAGTCAGCAAGGAGCCTTCAAAACCGTTCGCAGAACTTTATCAGAAAATTCCAATCAGCTTCTTTTCATTCCTTTTTTTAAAATTCTCAACATGTGGTAGAAACTTCAAACAAAAGACTGAATGTGTATATCAGCTATAGTGTGGTTGTTTAAGGCTGTGTGTTTGGACATCTTTTGATATATGGCTCAACTGACGACAATAAATTTGTAGCCATTTACTTTTGAATATGCCCCCTCAAAGACATTATGTACAGAACATTCTAGATGTGAAAAGAGGTTGTCAGTCGACAAAACATTTTATCCCGCCGGTTCCTGTATGTTTAAAAGGTGAACAGCAGGATGCCAAATATCAACTGTATTTGTAAGAATTTCAGTTTTTCGACTTTTGGAGCAAGAACGCGATGCAACAACCAGCCGCTATCAATCACGAGTTATCAGTAAAAGGATTATCACTTATCGCGCTTAACGTTGCACCCTACGTCAGATGGTATCACTTCACTTATTATGCCTTATGTCAACAGCTACCTTTGTGCTTTTAATTGTATCGCCGATTTGTTTGTGTTGTGGTCGGTTTGATTTGATTAGCAACTATAGGATTCTGAGAGTGTTACAGCTTACAGGGCTAAAAAGAACGATTTTTCAAACCAATAAAACAATATGTTTGCGAAGCGCCAGCTGATTCGGCCTTCGAAAAACCGTCAGATTTATCTTCTTTCTCTGGAACACCGAACAGTTAAGGGTAATGTCTTGCAAAGGACCCGTGTTATTTGCTACCGCCGGGCTATCAAGATACACAGGAAGCGAGTTCTGTATATGAACTTCGGCTGGCAGACCGATCATCCATGAATAATTAATCAAGTCAGGCAAAGGTGACGTTTAATTAGTCACACTCACGCTGGGCCGGGTTTTGTTGATAGCAAGAGGCAAGATCTATCGAGAAAATTATGTTTTAAGCTCTGTGTATGGAATAAGAAAGTGGATAGCAGTAAATAACAAAACACTGGAAACATAAAACTCATAGTGACCAACAAAATACAAGGCGCCATGGCTGACGAAAATGAAGCTAGCGATGATTGCGATGTGAAAGAATCGCGAGAAGACAAAAAGAAAAGCAAGAAAAAAAGGTAAGTGGTATTAGATCTGTTAATAATATCACCACATGCCCACTAGTTATCAACAGAAAGCAAGCTCAAAATATCGTAGAATGTATTTTTTTTCGATGAAACTAGAAGTGGCAAATTAATTGTTTAAAGCATACATCGAAAGAAAGTTGGTTAAAGTCTGTTTGTTTTTGTCTGTGTGGTCTTACTTTAGTCGCCTTATGTCGCTCGATAGAACTCCTCAAGGACAACTAACAAACGCTTTTACAAAGCCATGGATTTATGCATTAATAAAAAGAAAAGAGCATTGCACTACAGCAGTCTATTATGTGAAATATTTGCTCAAAACAGGCCGAATCTTTATCTCCAATGTACAGGTCAAGATCGTGCCTTTCTTTATAAATAAATTCTCCCGCGAATTGCTCATAATTATGCTTATTCAAGTCAAAGCCTGGCTTCTGCTTTTAAAATGTCCTGGGGAAAAAATTGGCTTTGCTCATAGGAAATGCAAAAGTTTTTTTCATCATGTCATTGATATTCTAGGATTCACTCAGAGGTCGTGGATTAAAGTACGTTTACATATATGGTGATAAATGACCAGATGAAAAGACATTTTCTTGACAGCCATCGTTTTAGAGGGCTTTGCGAAAATATTTTTTACGACTGTAACTTCGGCAGTTAAAAACATGAATAATTGAACTATTAAGAATCCATTTAATAGTGTTTTCATCAGTTCCTTCAACTGTTTTCATTTTTTATGTGTTATACTTCATCCTTTGCTATATAAGAACGTGATTCACATTTTTAGTTCTATTTATTCAGCTATGAAAAATAACAATTTAAATTTAATCAAGAACTGTACTTTCGTCTTTCCATCGATCTTCAAAGCGAGTTACCGTGAGACCAGAAAAAGTTTCGATATTCGGAAGACATTTGAGTGTCACTTGAGTGAAGAGTCAAGCAGCTAGCTGAGGATAATAATATGAATAACTGCCATACTATCGTTAGTAAATTAACGAATTCGAATTGTTTAAAGCACTTGAATTGTCCTGAAGTTCTTGAACATTCGGCTCCCTTTTCGCTACTTGAATTAATTTTAGATTTTYCCGCCCGTTTGTTTTACGACATTAGCATATTGATATTTTAAAATTTTGTATAACCAATATGACTTTTTTCAGTCGGGAAAAAGACTATTAGGGCTAAAAAATTTTATTCATTTGCTTTGTTGATGCTTTTTACTAAAAGGTTTCTAGACTTGACGTGTTACATGTTCGCTATGTTCAAAAACTGCTTCAACATCAGTACAAGACGTCCACAAATAGTCTTGAAGTTCGTTCCTACCCATGTATGTCAGTGCTAGCTGTCGTGTATGTCAGTAGCTGCATATAAATCGCAACAATCTACTAAAAGCGGTTTTTTCAACATCGCTTTTTCTTTTTTCTATTACCGTTTTGTGCGAAATAACCTCCTATTCTTGCTACCTCTTTGCTTCATGCAGGTTAAAATTTGTATTTCTGGTTTTTGAGATAAACTGCACATTTGGAAACCAGGCCTGACAGACACAGCCTGAGTGCCGCCAAACGTAAATGTTAGGCCGCGACGAGCACCACAGATAGCCACAAAACGTCAGGGCAACAACCGTACTCCATCTACATGTGTGACATGGAATTCATTATATTATGTAAACACTTGAAGACGATGACCTATATAATGATATTCTCCGTCTAGTCGATAACCAAGCGGAACTGTTATATGTTTTTACAACCTTAGATAATTTTCTCCTCAGGGTAGAGGGCAAACGATACGTTACATCCTCGGACATAGACGACCAGCCATTTTGGACCTTCACTTAACTTGCTAAAGCCGAGCCTAGTTAATATGTGGTGAATGAAATTTTCCAAAATTGTTTTTTTATCATTTTTTCAGTCAGCATGATAATTGAAAACCTTGATTATTTTCTTTCATAAAACAGACTATACAAAAGATCTGAAAGAGCATTTTTGATCTCAGGTCTCGATCTCTGTAGCCTTTTTTCATATAGTAGTTTCTTAACATTTCAAATTTTGCTTCGATAAAGATATTCTTTTATATAAAGATAAAGTGTTGAACTAGGGTTTGGATGTTAATGAGCTACCGCTATTATTGAAGTTGGAAAGCACTGTGCAATACGTTATTTCATAACAGGAAATCGTACCTTGCTGACAGTCTACCCTTAATTTCTCTCGCTAGGGGGAAATTTAAAGGGAGTCTTTGCCATCAGAGTATGGAAATCGATAGAGTATTTCCTGAAAATTGAAAGAAAAGAAAGATGGACTCCCACTCTAAATGGATAATATGACGTCACGGGTCGGTTAATTACTATTTCACGCACAGCATTTATCAAGAATATGTAGAACGTGATATAACTTTATATGTTTTGTCAGCTACATAAAATCAATAGTTCAAAGTTGGGTTTAATTGCTGCCCACTCACACATGTGCGCACAGTTATGTTAGTTAGTAGATAACAATAACTCGTTTCTACACTTCGCATAACTCGTGGATACTCGAAGTAAAAACGAGTGCAAATATATTAATGTGTCACTCGCTCGCTCACTAAGATGTTAGCTAATCGATAATTAAACGTTTATCAATCGTCTTACGCCATCTGCTTACGAACATTACGCGAAGCTTACTTTGGGACAGGACTTCGTACAAACACGAAGTTTTTATCCGATAAAGGCTTGAATCAGCTATTTAATATGAGCAGCTTGAATTTCAATGTTCGATGTGGGACGATGTCTATGAGCCGATGTCATGAGAGTATATTTTACTTTTTTCCTATGTCGTTGGGCTGCCTGTGGACATTTGTGCTCGCTTATGCAAGTCTAGTACGAACGCTACGTCAGTGTGCCGTCACTTCATCCACTAAGATGGAAAAGATGAGCAAACCAGGGACCGTGATCCTTTGGGTAGACAAAACTGTTGGCGACTAGCTTCACGTGACGTAAGGGCCAGCTGATCTAAAATAGCAACGTAGAAATGACGTCACTGCAAAACCTACTGCCAAAATGACCAGAAAATAATACGAATTGCAATAACAATAAAAATCTCATTATTTATTGCCCATTGCACTGATGAACTGCACACGTAGGAGGAATATCTATGCCAAGTCTCTTACATGTAATGATGATTAAAAGATATATGATTTATCTAGTTCCCCTTCAATATGGAGTAATGAGGTGTATGCACTGAGAGTGGTCAGTTTACAAGCATGAGGTAGTCACTGTCAGATTTTCTTCACGTTCTCAGTGGTTCTTTTACGTCACTCCTATATTTGTAAGTAATGATGAAGGTTGGAGAAATGTAGGCGTTGGCTGCTCTTGGTGTTGGCTGTCAAGGCTGCTCTTGATCCTCAATTATCTTAAGATCGAGAGTGTTGATCTAGCCAAAACGTAACCAAGATCTTTGCACGAAACGTCCGATGCTCAACGAATTGAGCCAACCAGCTAGCGATAACATCTCATGATTCCGGCAGTGTGTGATCGCATTTTCAGTCGTATCTGATCATCTGTGAGAGGGACTCGTGTGCTGGCAGCAGGTCCCAACCGGAAGAAGCTTCCCATCATACAGTTCCCATCCCCAGTACGTCCCCTGGTTGCAGGTCTTGATCACCCTTCCACTCCTAAACCTGAAAGTACACTCTCTTGCTGTGGTGCGCGCTGCAGCTGATGATGTAGGTGATAGGTTTTCTTCCTGTAAACGAAGCAACTTTCTGACAGAAGCCTGTATACCTTTAAAAACAAACTAATTGATCTTCAGATGTTGCACTAAAAAGACAAATGAGTGCCTTTTCTCACACGGCGATGACATTCCTTTGAATAGACTCTGGATTCATTAAAACGGCAGCTTATCGTTAGAAGCTAAGATTTTATTATCTAGTCAAAATTTGAGGATTTCAAGTTTTGCAATGATATAGAGGCTTTGCAACCATCACGTGACGGGATGGCAGCCATGACAGCAGGCAGGAACAATCGAATCTGATCTAAATCTAATTTTCATGCCAAACAATTCAGTTTCCCAGGGGAGAACGACTCTGTTGTTGTGCCTCCTGTCATGACTGCCATCACGTGATGGTGCAAAGCCTCTATTGAATGTAAGGATTCCATGTTATTTTTGACACCTCTCCTGACATAATAACAGTGAAAAAAGTTTCCATTGCAATTAGTTTGAACCCCCAGAAAGTCGTAGATTGACTGGACCACACGGCTAGTTGGCTAGCTCTTTCAGGTTGAACCATCTTTCTACCATCCACATACCACCTTGTTAAGGTGACTGGCTACTTTTGGTAAAAAAATTAAACTGTTTTTTAAACTATGTTCTTTTAAAGGAAATGCTGATTCCAAATATGAAAAGAAAAATTGGGTGTCCCGAGCTTGTTTTCAAGATAATCAGCATTTAATGGATGCCTACGCGCGATCTTTTGGAGCAAAAATTGCGCCCTCGTCAGTGATCAGAAAAAACTAAATAAGATCCATAGCATGATAGTTATTCAATCTATGATTGCACGAATGACGGCTAGCCACTCGATCATTCTACAATAATACGCGATATTTTCAACAAAAACACAAAGAAATATCGATTTAATTGTCATATTTTGTAGTTTCTGTGCTCTTAAAAACTCTCATAGTCGAACAAAAGTCCCTTCAAAAATCTTTTTTTTTTTCATGTGTTAAGCCCCGTTTATACTAGCGATTTTTGCGGCGATTTTTTTGTCCATAATAAATAATGGTAAAGAATTTACTTGTAATGTTTTTTTCAGGATACCAAGATTTTCCTCGACGAATGTCTCTTTTGAAGGATGAGACAAAAGATTTCATATTTCCGAAAATTGCCACAAAAATCGCCGCAAAAATCGCCAGTGTAAACGGGGCTTTACTGAGAAAAATTATCTTTTTCTAAAAAGTTGACATAACCTAGATTTTTAGGGTTTTTTTCGAATAGGCTGTTTAAAAAAAAGAGAGACGTCCCGTATAAAATTTGAGG